AATTAAAGACCTGAAATATTTCAGTTGGTGTGCAATGAATCTGAAATGTATGAAAGTTTCATTTTTATCATTACATTATGGAAAATAATGACCTTTATCACAATATGCTAATTTTTTGAGAAGGACCTGTATACATCCAACTGTCACCCGTGTCATATTGTCTTCATCTTGATGAGTCTCTAAACTAAGCGTTCAAAAAAAAATAATGTTCAACGGTTTTACAGGAAAATCAACCGAACACCTTTTTGCTTTGTGATTCAGCAATTAGTCATTGTGTGCCGCTGTGAGTGTAAAGAAGGGAAAGGTTTGAAAATGTGGAACTGAGCTTTGAAGACAATGACATTTAGTTTGTTTTTTATAAACCAAGAGTCATCCCGTTGCTGAGAAAAGAGCCTCGCTGATCAGTTTTTATTGTTAATGACACCTCAACGTACTTCTCATCACCGTACGAGTGCCACAGCATTCATCCCTTCAGTCGCAGTCCTTGTGTTTACTTAAAAACAAATATTAATCCTAAAACTGACCCGAGTGATCTTCTCCGTCCCCGTGAAGCCGTGTTTCTCAAAGTGATCGGCCAGGTTCAGGAAGGTGCGTCTCTCCAGGTACTGGCAGTTACTGAGGACGATGAGCAGACGCTGCTCCTACGAACAAAAAACAAAAATTATCTCATATCCATGACTTCACTTGAACCTTAGAGACTGACCATTTTCTCTTAAACTGAGAGAAAACAGGCAAATCATTCATTGTTTGCAGATGAGCAACCAGCCAGTCATGCTGCTGGTTCTGAAAAGCCAATTAAAAAAAATTAAAAAAATCACAGGATAAATTTGTGTGAACATTTTGAAGAACTGTTTATTAAACATCCTGTACCTGCCCCCGCCTTCTTTGTACCCACCTTGTATTTGACATTTGTTACTTAACCTACTCAAGTAAGTACACTTTATTTATATAGCAGCTTTCATAGATAAAATCACAAAGTGATTTACAGAAATACAGACACAGGCTTAAAATAAAAACAGTAAGAACAGCTGATAAAAACAGTAAGTAGAACATTTAATTAAAAGCTTGTTTGAAAAAGTGTCTTAAGCTGCTTTTTTAAAGAAATCAACAAAGATGGTCACATGAAGAGACGGGGGCAGGGCATTCCTCAGGCTGGGGGCTCGGGCCTGAAAGGATAGGTCGCCTCGAGTTTTAAACCGGGTCTTAAGGACCTTTAGGAGGTTCAACGCCGAATACTGAAGGGTGCAGGCTGAAGAATAAGGAATCAACATTTCAGTGACGTATTGGGCTCCCTTTAGAAATGAGGAAGGCAGATTTAGACCAGTTCTTTAATAATCATTTGTAGGGATGCACGATATTATCAGCATGGTATCGGCCGATATTAGCGATAAAGTTAAATATCGGACATCGGCCGTTCCATCAAAATAACTCATCGATATAAAAGGCGCTGACATATATTTAAATATATATACATGGCACTGTTTTTGTATGACACCCCAGTGACAAGGATGTCTGCAGCGACAGCACAACGTTATGACATCATAGATTTGTGCAAATTTACAAATTTGCACTGTTTGATTGTTGTCGTTGTGTTAAGAGTAAATGTCATGAGTAAATTTGACATTAAACATAATCCAAGTTGAAGTGTTACATCATTTTCAGCCCCCTTTTTGGCATCTGCATCTGGTAGCAGGCCAAACTGACAAAGACCATGCATAATAATGTATTTTAATTCTGCAGCAGATAAAGCTATGTATGTATTATTATTATTAGTTTATTTGACAGGGACAATGGACACAAACATAGAACAGAACAAGTCTGTGACTGATGCGTTGCACAAAGTGTATATAGCTATAGCTAATTCGCAATTTCAGTCCCCGTACTCTCTGTAAGTAGGTCTAGGAAAAAAAAATTATTGGTATCGGTTATCGGCCAAATAAGTTTTAACATATCGGCATATCAGATATCAGCCAAAAATCCAATATAGTGCATCCCTAATTATTTGTTGTCATTGGCGTGGCTATCTTTTACAAAATGTGCCTCATTTCTTCACGTTTTGACCCAAAGCTAAAGGATTTCTAAACATGTGAGGCAAATTAAAGCAGAGTGATGGAACCATAACAAACAAACAAACTTGTAGAAAATATTGAGCAAACAAGCAAAAGCTTGGAAACGGTGATATGAGCGATGACAGAGTGGTTAGCTTTTACTGCGACGACCACAACTGATGTCGTCATTCACAGGATTGTCTTCACCCTCGAAGGGCGCAGCGATAAGAATATCTGGCAACATCTTTGTTTCTACTGTGCACAGTGGTTTTTAACAGGTGAAATCGGTCCCAACGCTGGTCGTCCGCTCGCTGTCGAGCTAAGCTGCCAAAGTCCCGCCACACATATTCAGGGTGGGGAAACCCCATCTGCACCTTGCTCCACTTCCCTTTACCAGAAGCACTCTATGCCCTGCTCTTCCTCCTCCCCGGCCTCCTCCTCCTCTCTGGTGCTTTAACCCCCCCACCTCACCAACATTTCAAACAAGTTACAGGAAACGAGGACATATCTGTTGCTTGTCCACAACCAGGAAACAGCCTGATAACATTTTGTGGTTCCAGTGACTGAGACGTGCGAGCCCACGCTCTGGTGACGCCGGCAGTCGCATGCGGTGGGATTACTGGGTGTAAACTTTTAACTGTACAGAGGAAACAATAAAACAACACTCTGCTTACAGATGTTGGATTGAAGCCTTCTTGGACGGTAGAAAATCGATCTGGAGAGGACAGGTCCACTGAAACAGAGCTGCAAACACAGAAGACATCTTTTACAATCTTTTCAGACGATAAACACGAAAAAGAAGAATTTTAAATACTCACTGGGACGCATCAAAGTATCCATCTGTGTTTGTGCTCAGCCGCTCCAAGCAGTTTACAAAAGTCTGAGAGGAACACATGAACAAACGCGTCATTAAAAAAAAAAAGCTTTGAAATTAACCCGTACTGTTCCATAAAAACAGAAATATTTTAGGTTTTACAGAATAAACAGGAGCAAAGAAAACCAAGGAGATAGTTTGCGTTTAATATAAATATGTTCAGCATTACATCAATTATATAAAGATTTAAAAAAAGAGCCAACATCAGAATAATAGAGTGAAAAAAGTTAAAAATTATTATACCTAAAGAAACTGAGTAAAAGTACCGACATTTGAGTACTTGCTGATACAGAGTACAGATACGAGTACTAATAATTACCATTACACTTTTTACAAATAACAGAACCTTTAGTTCAGATTTAATCTGCAACTGCAAATGATTTTATGCTGAAAATGTGTATTTTTCAAAACTTTTTTAAAATAATGAAAATAAAATATCAGTTGGTAAGGAGTGTGGATCTGGACAGCCAACGTAAGTAAACCAAAAACAGTAATTAAAAAAAAAATAAAAATACTACAAACCGGATTCCAAAAAAGTTGGGACACTAAACAAATTGTGAATAAAAACTGAATGCAATGATGTGGAGGTGCCAACATCTAATATTTTATTCAGAATAGAACTCAAATCACAGATCAAAAGTTTAAACTGAAGAAATGTATCATTTTAAGGGAAAAATCTGTTGTTTACAAATTTCACGGCGTCAACAAATCCCAAAAAAGTTGGGACAAGTAGCAATAAGTGGCTGAAAAAAGGAAATTAAGCATATAACGAACAGCTGGAAGACCAATTAACACTAATTAGGTCAATTGACAACATGATTGGGTATAAAAAGAGCTTCTCAGAGTGTCAGTGTCTCTCAGAAGCCAAGATGGTAAGAGGATCACCAATTCCACCATTGTTGCACAGAAAGACAGTGCAGCAATACCAGAATGGTGTTACCCAGCGTAAAATAGCAAAGACTTTTAAGTTGTCATCATCAACCATGCATAACATCATCAAAAGATTCAGAGAATCTGGAACAATCGCTGTGCGTAAGGGTCAAGGCCGTAACACTCTACTGGATGCTCGTGATCTCCGGGCCCTTAAACGTCACTGCACCTCAAACAGGAATGCCACTGTCAAGGAAATAACAGAATGGGCTCAGGAATACTTCCAGAAAGCATTGCCACTGAACAATCCACCGTGCCATCTGCCGTTGCCAGCTGAAACTCTACAGTGCAAAGAGGAAGCCATTTCTAAGCAAGCTCCACAAGCTCAGACGTTTGTACTGGGCCAGGGGTCATTTAAAATGGAGTGTGGCAAAATGGAAGACTGTTCTGTGGTCAGATGAGTCACGATTTGAAGTTCTTTATGGAACACTGGGACGCCATGTCATCCGGACCAGAGAGGACATGGATAGCCCAAGTTGTTATCCATGCTCCGTTCAGAAGCCTGCATCACTGATGGTATGGGGTTGCATGAGCGCTTGTGGCATGGGCAGCTTGCATGTCTGGAAAGGCACCATTAATGCAGAGAACTATGTTCAGGTTCTAGAACAACATATGCTCCCATCTAGACGTCATCTCTTTCAGGGAAGACCCTGCATTTTTCAACACGATAATGCCAGACCACATTCTGCAGCAATCACAACATCATGGCTACGTAGGAGAAGGATCCGGGTACTGAAATGGCCAGCCTGCAGTCCAGATCTTTCACCTATAGAGAACATTTGGTGCATCATAAAGAGGAAGGTGCGACAAAGAAGGCCCAAGACGATTGAACAGTTAGAGGCCTGTATTAGACATGAATGGGAGAGCATTCCTATTTCTAAACTTGAGAAACTGGTCTCCTCTGTCCCCAGACGTCTGTTGAGTGTTGGAAGAAGAAGGGGGGATGCCACACAGTGGTAAAAATGGACTTGTCCCAACTTTTTTGGGATTTGTTGACGCCATGAAATTTGGAAACAACAGATTTTTCCCTTAAAATTATACATTCTCTCAGTTTAAACTTTTGATCTGTGATTTGTGTTCTATTCTGAATAAAATATTAGATGTTGGCACCTCCACATCATTGCATTCAGTTTTTATTCACAATTTGTTTAGTGTCCCAACTTTTTTGGAATCTGGTTTATACACACATACAGTACCAAACAGATACCTGATACTGTATTGTTGCAAAATCTCTTCAGCTGTGCTTTAGCTGATTTGAAGCTGTGAAAATCAACTAGATTTCAGTAAAATTTCCTTTTATTTAGAAGTTAATCCTGGTTAAAGTATAAATTTGCAACAGGTCAATAAGATACTGAGGTGTCAGCTCGTTAAGAAATTTAGAAACAAATGCCAAGATTTTAAAATCAGTCCTGTAGTGCTGCGGTGTACTGGAAACCAGTGAAGTGAGGCCATTATGGGTGACATGTGGTCATACTTTGGCTTACCAGTGAGAAGACGGGCTGCAGCATTCTGCACAAACTGAAGACAATGACTGATCTATACTAAAGTAAAATGAGCTGCAGAACTCCTGGTGTGAGGACTTTATAACAGTGACGATGTGATAAAAAACTAAAACTGTCTGAAAACAAAAGGTGCAATAACTTAAAGAGGAAACGGCTCAGACTTCAGGATGAGCCGAGCAGCAAGTACAGACACGTGCAGATAACACGTCCTCAAATCAAACAAGAAATAAATCTAATAAACATAAACAAGTGTTGATGAAGTCTGCGGTGGTCTGTCAAGTCCTGGTCTTAGAGCTCTTACCTTCATGATGCTAATGCTGAGCTCAGTGGCCTGGTCCTGGACCTGGTCTAACTGCAGCACCTGAGACGGAGAGATGAAAACAAAAAAAACAACTCTGCGTCAGACGCAAAAAACCTGTTGAACTAAAATGTTTTATTTTAACTTAGAATTGTTTCTAGAGATAAAAACACACAGAAAAGCTTTTATTTTGCAAATGCACTTATTTAACGTCTGCAGTATATTCATTCATTCAGACTAACTGAAGGCACTGATCCAAAATACTAGCTGAATGTAAAGTAAAAAAAAATAAATATTTACAGCAGCTCCACGTAAGTTATTTGCGTTAAATTTGCATCTAGGAAAGTTTTAGTATTTAGAAAGTATTTATTTTTTCATACCAAGCAGGAGAATTACAGCAAAGTCACTTTGTTACGCAACTGTCATTACATATTATGACCACAAAGAGTCGTTTAATAACGTTCATCTTACATTCATTTCTCCAGGTTTGATCTCTAAAGGCTCTCTGAGTGACTGCAGCATCTGAACCGTACACTGTTCGAACTTGAAGGGCTGCAAAAACAACAAATGAGATTTAAAACATAAATAAGTATTCACATTTAAAATTCCTCCAATGAACCACGATACAATAAATATCACGATACAGCGATAACTCCTTAGACAATCCTAATTTTTATTATCTAGTTATGAATAATACCGCTCATAAAATGACAGTTCGCTCACTGTTGCTCAGTTCCGCAGCAGAAAACAGATTTTCTAGACCAGGAGTCATAATTATAGATCTATAAACATTTTAGTTTGCATGCAGATTTTAAATTTGTTTAATCAGCGTTTACTCCACAACAACAACAACAAGCTAAATTTGTTCTGAATCTGTTGTGAAAGTTTACTGGAAAGTGTCATGCGTCACGTTTTTGTTCTGAACCTGGAAGCGGTGCTCGGTGCACTAACACATCCTTACCAGACTGCTGGTTCCCTCGTTATCTACAACCCAATCTTCCTTCTCAGCGAGCCTCTTCACAGCTACATGTAAAGAAACACAGAAATGAAGCCAAAGGAAAAAGTGATTGCCACAGTTTACTGAACGTGCAGCTTTTCTTTGCAATAACTTTTTCTCTGGTTTATTACGACTAAAGCAAAAAACAAAAAACCAAAACACGTTTATGAGGAAAAAAAAACCCCAGACAATATTGAATCAGACGTTCTGCCCGGACCAGTTTGTGTAGACGTGTTCATTCAACCTTTATTTAGACAGGTAAACCCCGTTGAGCCTCGAGGACTCATTTACGAGAGAGACCTGATTTCAACAAAGAAAGATGACAACAATGGACAACAGCAACAACAATAAACAGTTATAAAAACTCATACTACAGTTTTTTGTTTTTTAACAAATAGGATGGCTAAAAAAAGTAACAAATATCAGCTAGATTCTAAGGCGAATGTAGAAAACTAAAAACAGGAACATGTCTGCGTTGGTCCCTGCCAGGAGTCCAACAGATTCTTAAAGCCACTTAGAGAGGTCAAGGTCAAGGTCTTCAAATGTTTTTGTAAGATATTCCAAGAAACAGGAGCGGAGTAGGAGAAGGACCTTTTGTCTAGTTCAGTCCTCACTGAGGGAACACTGCAGGTAATAATGTCCTGAGAGCGCACGCTGTAGCTGCACTCACGCAGAAACATGTAGGAGGAGATGTATGAAGGCAGCAGACCAAGAAGTGATTTAAAGATGAAAATGTACCAGTGGGAGAGTCTGCGTGAAGTTAATGATGTCCAGTTAACCAGTGAATACTGGGTGCAGTGGTGGGTACGATAATCACAGCCAGTTATGAATCTTAGTGCACCATGATAGACAGCATCCAACATCTGCAGGTTCTTGTAGGAGCGTTCATGTAAATAATGTCACCATAATCAATTGAGGGAAGGAAAATCACAGATACAAGATGTTTTCTAGCATTCAGGGTTAGACAGGATCTGTTTGTGAAAAAGAAACCCAGTTTAACTTTCAGTTTCTTTACCAAGTTTTCCACATGGAGCTTAAAAGAAAGATGTGAGTCGACCAAGATACCCAAATATTTATAGGAATCAACAAACTCAATGGGGACACCATTTGAGGATAAAATCGGAGGAAGAACTGCTGGGACCAACTTCCTATTTGAAAAAAATTGTAAACACTGAAAGGTGAAGCACCCACATCTGCCTCCACCCTCATCTGCCTCACCCTGGGCCTCTGAGCAAGGCCCTCAAGGTCAGTGTAAATTCGATGGGAGTGAACTTCAGTGAAAACCAGTCACTCTTCTCAAAATGACCACACTAAACTACAAGTGAAACTGAACACGTCTGGTCTCACAACACTTTCACCAGTAGCTCTCTGAAGACTGGAGTAATAATGTAGAAATAATGAGAGCAACAACAACGGTACGCAATATATACATCGTTTCTTCTTTCGGCTGCTCCCTTCTTCGGGGGTCGCCACAGCGAACTAACTCGCATGAAGACTTGGCATTTGTTTTTACGCCGGATGTCCTTCCTGACACAACCACAGACCACCGAGCTACCACAGCCCTCTGTGTGGAGCAGAGAGCTGCCATCTAGGGTGCAGATGATGGGGGTTGAGGGCCTTGCTCAGAGGCCCAGGGTGGGGCAGATGTGGGTGCTTCACCTTTCAGTGTTTCACCTACCATTATACAAGGAGCGTGCCCCGCCCTGTCAACAGAACCGAGCATCCTGCCTATCAAACTGTCCTCCCCCCCGTGTCGACAAGTGTCATAACACTAAGCTCGTGGCAATCAATAAAGCTAGGTAAAAAGCTACAAAGGTAATGCTCCATCTCCCTCATGCTGAGCCCTCCCCCCCACAGTTTTGATGTTGTCAGACTGGGCAGTTGAGCTGGCGACCTTCGGATCACAGGCCCACCTTATCTAACCTCTGTGCCACCACTCTCCCTTACCAATGGCATGCAATACAACTGTCAGTAATCAATATCCAAAACATGAATTCCTGCACCCAACAACCCTGAATATACTGGTATGTCTATTTAATGCTTATACACGATGATGGTGGGGTCAAAGATCAATTTGATTAGTATGACGTTGTCCATGGTGTAAGTATACAAACTGTTTAATTAAATGGTAAATGGACTGTACTTACATGGCACCTTTCTACCTTATCAAGATACTCAAAGCACTTTTGAGCACATTGAGCATGAACTTTGATGTTTTGAACCACTTTGGTTATGGCTGCCTCAGAGGAGCCGACGGGGGAGAGGGCGGGACACAGAAACCATCTTATCACCATGAAACTGGTTGGTCCACTATGTGGGTGTGATGCTTGTGGGACTGTTTGTTGTGGTTCCTCGGACTAATGAAGTCCTTTGGATGAAGGACGAAACGTCTCAACAACAAAAAAAGAAACCGTCCAGAGGACCTGACTGGACTTTGTTGGATTATTACCTGGATTATTGAGCATGAACCTTGAAATATTACGCAGACATTCCCAAGAAAGTTTTTGTTGTTCCCGTGTAAAAAACAAGTTTCTTTGTCAGCAGCGTCAGACTGACGAGAAGGAACGCTCACCTTCTGTCGTGAGCAGCAGGGTCATCATGAGACAGTGAACCCTCAGCTCCAGCAGCAGATCCTGGATCACCTGCAGCAAATCGTTGGGGATTTCCAGAGCCGACAGAGCTTCGTGACAAGCCCTGGGGAAGAAACGCACGCAACAGGTCAATAAAAACATGTGGGCGATTAATGAAGCGCTCAGACCTGCACACGATCAGAGCGCGAACCTGACGGTGTGAATGATCTGCGTCAGCCAGGCTCCCGTCAGCTCCGTCTTGTCCTCCCAGCCTCCATACACGCTCAGCTCCCCTCGTGGCAGAGTGGTGGGGAGCAGAGCCCCTCGGATGAGCTTCACCAGTCTGTTGGTTAACTCTTCGATCATTTTCTGTAAAAGATGCAGCCAGACGTGCAAAAGGGCATGAAATACCCCACAAACTCCAACGAGTAAAACTCAGAAAGTAACATTGTTTTAGACATCTTCTTGTACTTTAAAGTCGTTCTGTCTCTGTCTGGCGTTCTTCTTGGACTTTTCCACCTGGCCAGATTTCTCTCCGGTCTGCAAAAAAGAAAACAATTGAGAGACACTTCATCTTCTTTGACGACAAGTTAAAACAAAAAGGAGTTTAAATCTCATAACAGTAACTCATATGAAACACTTTTCTTTTGAAATAATCTCCAAAATTGTTTATTTTTCTTCCTCGCGTTACATGAATTCACCTTTTCGGCTTTATTTTGGTTTCTTCTTTACATCCTGTGAAGATTTTAAAGACTTTAAATGTGTTTAGATCAACCTTTAAGTTCAGATTTAAAATATTGAGCGGTTAAAACAAAATCGTGACTAATAATATATTTTTTAACATAAAGTTGAATGGTTGAATCCATACAAATGCAAAAAAAAATTATATTTGTTATTATTTATACTTCAAAGAAAGGGGTACCTGTAAAATAAATAAATAAATAACAAAAAATAAAAATATAAAACCTCTGGCAGTGGAATTTAGTTGTTTTACTGCCAAACGCAGGTTGCTGTTTCAGAAATGACATTAAAAACATAGTCTTTGATGGTTTGTGTTTGCCAAGGTCGGTCAGCTACGGCGGCCATCTTGAATCGTGTTGACTCCAACAGTTGCACGTTCAGTAAATAATCTGAGTGTCTTTAAAATCCGTCCAGACTGATTTCATTAGCCCACTGATCACAGCGTTTCAATGTAAAAGCGTTTACCTCACTAAAAAGACTCCCGTTAACGTAGGAGATCCAAAGCTTCCAGAAGTTTGGCAGCTGTCCGATCACCACATCTGAAAGCTTCTCCACAAACTGCACTGGCTGTGGAGTTTCAAAGCACCAAGCTGAAAGAAAGGTAAAATATATTTTACTCTAACTTGCACTAAACTAACAGCTGAAGCGTAGCTGTAGGGGAGATGAAACTGTGTCACGATGCACAGGTGACTCAGAGAATCAGGAAACTCATTCCTGGAATAAAAATATTTTTGTTTTTGTTGTTCATACTGAGCACTTTGAGGAGATTCCCCTAAGAGCTGTTTATGATAAAAAGTGTTACACACACAAAAAAAGTGCGCTCAGCGGCAGGGAAGCCCCTCCTGAGCCCTGAGTGTGTGGGTGATGGTGGAAGGTGAACTCACTGCTGGGTCGCTGCGATCGGAGGCTGCCCCCTCTCTTCAGAGACGCTGAGTGGCTGATTCGGCCGAGGGCGGAGGAGCGGGTGTCCCCCTCCAAGTCCAGAGCTCCAACCCCCACTGAAGGACACAGAGGAGACAAGGACAGACCTCAGAGATCAAATAAGCTATTTTCATAACTCAATATTCCACAGTCAACTCTGCAGGTTTTCACAAAAATCAATCTGGCTTCAGTTGAATGCTGAGTCAGCATTAATCTCAAACAGTAGACGGCTGAGTCAGCATTAATCTCAAACAGGAGACGGCTGAGTCAGCATTAATCTCATACAGGAGACGGCTGAGTCAGCATTAATCTCAAACAGTAGACGGCTGAGTCAGCATTAATCTCATACAGGAGATGGCTGAGTCAGCATTAATCTCATACAGGAGACGGCTGAGTCAGCATTAATCTCAAACAGGAGACGGCTGAGTCAGCATTAATCTCATAAAGGAGACGGCTGAGTCAGCATTAATCTCATACAGGAGACGGCTGAGT